ACTCGCCGCTGTATCGCTTGTGAAAAATGAAAGAGACATCCTATAACAAACGTTTTAATTATCTTTATGTTTTCTGTGAATAGACTTGAATGTACCTTTGTGTAAAACGTTAGGTAGCATCTCTTTGACTGATTTAATTGTACCAGTTTCAAAATTAGTCATAATTGATTCAGATTGTAAATTATCTTGTTCGAACACTTTTTCGAAGAATAAATTGTAGTCTCGATGGATTTTACCAATTAATAATCCATAGACGAGAGAAATAATTGCATTAATTATCATCGTGTGTAATATAAAGAGTTGATAAAAATCATCGAGACAGACCTACATCAAAAATAATTAGAAAAGAATGAGATACACATTTTATTGATAGATCACCTTGAATGTTCCATCAGCGAACCAATGTTTGTTTTGCGTCAGAATTGATAAATTACTTTTCGTCGTAAAGATAATTAATTTTTCATCTTCGTGCAAAATGAAATCTTCATCACGATATGTCTTTCGTAATTTTTCTAGTAAAAAACCGTTGGCATCGCTTGCTTCAGTAACACGTTACCGTCGAGTCGTGAGCATGAGTGCACCAGTTTTAGGAACTTCATCAGCGGTATTCAGAGAATATGTTCGCAAAGCCGAATGAAGAATTGAACTCGATATTTCATCTGTCGTTGCAGGATGAGTTTTAATTTTGTTCTTCAATTAAATAGCTGGAACACGGTCAGGTTGTGGAGCATGACAGTGCGATGTTGGTTGCGAGAGAAACGCGTCCATGGATAAATTGGTACGACAGCGTGCTTAATTAATAAATGATTTTCATTCGAATTAATTGATTGATGATCAAAGTGACTTTATCTTTACAATCTCGATTCTGACATCGAAAGATCAATTTTGTCATTGTGGCACGTTCTATAGTGTAGATGTAACTTTCATGCAGGAGCATTGGTTTTTCTTTTACAGAAAAGAGTTTTTCGATTTGTGACATTTTGTGCGAACAGTTGTGTGTAGTAAACGTTGAGGTTGAGAAATGAAATATATTTTCAACCGCATCAAAGTAGATTTTTAAATATTCTAGTCGCATAATTAAGAACATTAGATCAGTGTTATCGTTGGTCTAGATTATGTGGAAATTCATTAACTGATTGACAAATCAAATTATCTTTCGCTCACTTTGGCTCTATCATGATCACATTTGATTAACATTTTCTATTGATCCGTTTTCTCAATCAACGTGATACGCCTTTGAACAGTATTTTATTGTTATTATAGACATCTCCTACAATATTCCATTTCTTTAGTTTATTTCGATTGGTTATAGAAAAAAAAGAATCAATTAAGCGAGATGCAACGAATTGATCGCAACGAATTTTTTTTTGCGCGACGAATTGATCACGATGAATAGAACGCGACCTATTGTACTAGTGCCGTAAAGTGGACGGCAAAAATATAGGACACATTTTATTTCCATATTTTCTTGAGAAAGAAAGGATGCAAATTACATTTTGTAAATACTATATAAAGTTAGACCCAAGATCTGCACAAACCATCTATTCTAGATCTAGTTGATTGTAGCATGAAAAAAAGAAGGATCTTCAACGTTTCTTTAGCAGGCAAAACTTTAAGATACTTTCAGGACTTTTGTGCAATTATATCTTTACTGAAAAACAGACCATTTTCAAACGTATACTATTCGATGCAAAATTGAATGCACTTTATTTGAGTATAAAATTTTTTATTAATTACTAATCAGAGAAATGTTTTGTTGTAAATTGTGATTTTCATATATCTTGTTAGAAAGAGCATTGAAAACTGAATAACACTTGTGGATTTTTGCTTTTCAATGACTCTTTATGGCGAGGTTTTCTTAAAAAATAATTACCCTTTCATTAATATTCTATGAATAATTAAGAAAAGTGAGCTTTAGGTATAGACTAAAGAACTTGAAAAAGGTATTATATTTTGTAGAGCAAACTTTGTTTTATCAAATGGAATCTTCTATTCTTCTGTACAATGTGTTCCTCATCAGCTATAGCACTTTAGGAATATTAAGGTATGGAGCAAGCAAAAAGTAACTGAAAATTATCGTTGAAATTAGTGATCAAAGATGAATGGGTTTTATCAGATGATAAATACATTGTACGAAAAAGAGTAAAGTCTTATTTGATAAAGCAAAGTCTGCTCTGAAATGCACTACTTTTTTTCAAGTTACGGAGTGAATCCGTAAAACTCACTTTTCTTAATTATTATTAAAATATTAACTAAAAATTAATTAGTCTTTAAAAAAAATCTCGCTATAAAGAGTTATTACAAAAAAATCCAGTGTTCATCAGTTTCCAATGCTTTTTCTAACAGTATATATCAAAAATCAAAATTTATAATGAAACATTTCTGTAGTTAGTAATTAATAAAAATTTTTATACTAAAATATAGTCCCTTCGCTTTTGCATCTAATAGTCTACTTTTGAAAATTGTTTTGTTTTTCAATAAAGATATAATTGCACAAAAATTCTGAAAACGTCTTCAATTTTTGCTTGTAAGAGAACATCTGAAGTTCCTTCTTTTTCTTCACGCTTCTATCCATTAGACCCAGAATAGATAGTTTTCGCAGGTCTTGGCTATAACTTTCTACGACATCCAAAAGATGTCATCTACTTCCTTTTTTCGCAAGAAAACACGGAAGAAAAAAGTTCTGTAAACTTTTGCCGTTCACTTTATGTGCATGTGTTTATTGATAATCTTTTATCAACATTCCTTCTGATTGTGCAAGTTCTCGATTATAGAGAGAATTGAAAAAAAGAAAGAGTTCCACGAGAGGAATTGAATGAAAAATAATAATAATAGTTGCTACAAATTACTCATTTTCATTTGCAATAATTCTGAGTCATTGGAATATATTATTATTCAATCTTAATAATATTTTCCATGTCCTTTGAATATCTCAGAGAATTCAAACAATTTTTTTATCTTCGCTTTTGAATTATTTTCCTCATGAATTCAGAAAGAAAAGCATCATTTCAAAGTTAAAAGAGGGACTGAAATAAATAGGTATAGTAGGAAGAAAAACTATTAGTAACCATGTTAACATGTTGATTTTCTTGTCATTGTAAAAAGATGAATACTATACTTATGAATTTAAGAATAGTATCTTTTCTCTTTTGTCATTAAGAAAATAGATGATCTCTAGAGTCAAACATAAAATCTGTATCTGCCATAATTTGTAATTGAGTTTTTATGATTGTTGCAAGTATAATTGTATAAAATAAACAATTGTAAATGACATTCAAAATAACTGAATTAGAACACATACAACAGCTTAGAACCCTCATAGATACAATAAAGATTTTTTTCTTAAATGCATTCTTGCAGATTCTTGAATATATTTGTTTTCAGAGTTGAATGAATTCAGTTAGAGTTCTACTCTAAAAAAATAGATACAACATTGTGAAAAGTGCATAGCATTTAATTGAACCAACTAATATAGCTCAAGAAAAAAAACAATTGTACTAATATATTCTATTAATGAGAATGTTACATCTAAGAGCTAATATGAAAGAAGAGTTATTTATGATTTTCTCAATAGACTTTTAGGACACCCGATATAACCTTTTAGCTTCGCTAAGAAGAGAAAAACATTAACAACGTACATTTTTTCGATTCATCATATTTTATTCGCTAGAGATAATACATTGTATATGTTGTTTTCACTGTTGACAAGCTATATCTCTGACGAACAATAGACCATCTCTGCTATTTGCTTTGATTAATCATAGCAATATATATATATTCAATTTTTTTGTCTGACAACGTCCCACACCTTCCTTTCCTTTATGCATAATATTTTGCAAGACAAATACCAATGTACGAAATATGAAGAAACAACAAATATCCCACGTAATATTCGTCAAAGAAAGAAGTTGCTTATTACATTTTACTTCAGGAGGTAAATGATTAAATCTGATGAAATACATATTACGATAATAAAATAAAGCAAAAATCTGCATCTTACCATAAGAGAAACTCATGTTGCACGTCCGCTTGAATTAATGCCAATATACCGCAGTACTCATAACAACCAGCGATAGTCCTTACGACTTTTAGTTTTAGCTATAAGCGATTGCAGAGATTGTTTTCTACATGAATTCGAACTGTCTATGAGAAAGAATTCAATTTACCGAGAAGAAAAGAGTTTCACAATATATTTTACTAATCAAAATTTTTGCAACGTCATCTATAATAAAAACTTATCTCACAACTGAGGCCAATTTGCACTATGTGTCTGGTACAGATGGCTCAGACGCATTGACACAGAAAACGACTTTCTTCAGTGAGTTGTAACAGACCGGAAAAACATTCACTCGTTTTGATACACTACTTTCAAAAGCAAATAAGCGATAATTTCTCGGTAGTTATCACATAAGAATTTTTACAAAATGAAAATAAAATAGGGTCAGTGTATCTGTTTCAGTTGATTCGAAAGTCGAGGTTGTTCCTATTGAAGTCATATTCTTTCAAGTAGGTTTTTCAACATGGATCAAGATCATATGAATTCATACAAATTAATACTACGAATTTCTCAAGATTTCAGTGTCGTCAAGTTCGCTTCACTTTTGTTTCTTGAGACAGGAACGAAAATCGTATGATAATCTCATAATAATTCGATACTGATAATTTCTGATAATCGTTCAATAGAGCGAATATCATAAAGTATTACACTAAATATTATGAGTTTTATGAATTCTATATTAAAGCATTTTCAAGATAAATGCATTACCGGTGTAATAGCATTAAAGACTATGACTATTAGTCGACAATAAAATTCAAAAAATAATTACTTATAAGTAACTCATGAGACAAAAAAAAAGAAAACATAATTTATTAATAATTAAGGGTAGAGTTTCATGCAATAATATTGTGTTATACGAAGAAAAAATAATTGCTAAAAAATATTCAAAATAGAAAAAAAGTTTATTTCATCAATTTTTCGGTCGTATTTTCAAACGTATTGTTTAAGCAATATTTGGAACACCTTTCACAATGCCTTTATTATCAACAAAAACACGAACACGATCCGTACGATAGTCCAATGTGACTGGTGATCCTTCTTGAATTGTCACAACATTTGAAAAGCCTATATCCGTTCATGAAAAAAAATCTCATTACATTCACGTTGTGTCAATATTACCTGTTTCTTGTTTAATAATTTGAACTGCGTCTTGGCCATTCATACCAACTAATTCAGGCCATTGAGTTTTTTTAACAACCGGTTTTGTATCTAAAATTATTAAAAAAAACATTATTAAAAAAAAAACAAACAAATTTGTTTTCCCTTTACTTTTAACAAGTATAACAGGTACATCAATAAATGTTGTTCGATCAAGACCAATTGGATTTACACGAATATGAACATCATTTATATATAATAATTCATTATTTTTATTTCTTATAGTAACATGTAATGAACAAAAACTTCCCGGAATAATTTGTTTTGGTGAATATTTTATTGCAAATGCCATTGGAAATCGAATAGCTTTACCTGTACCTTGTGCAATAACTCTTGCTGGAGCATCAGCAAGTGATGTATCTTGTAACTCAACTGTTAATGTTCCATCAGATTCAATTGGCATACGGGAACCACTAGGAAAAATTACGCGACCACGTAGAGTAATTGTTTGTTCTTTTTTTGCAAGGCTTGCTGCATCTTAAAGATCAATAAAAATTGAAATATAAAAACACGTGTCATTTTACATATGCTTACCATTTAAAGCAATCAAGTAAATTGTACCAATAAAAAGAAGTAGTCTATTCATGATTTAATCTAGAAAACATCATTGAAAATTTAATTTATTTTTGTAAGAAAAACAATTTACGCCGAAGATATCTATATGGCTGTATATATTTTATATAGAAAAATACAGGATAAATTCCATTCTACAGGCAATATATATATATTTAGATGACATATAATCCTGGTGATTAGTTGACAGTAACAAAATAACTTATCTTGTTTTTGCACAAAGTATAACGACTTCGTCTTGATAGTCAAAAGCAACTACTTGCAGAAAAGAAATGATAAGATATGCATGTGTACAGCGACATGACAAATCATTGCAATTGCGAAATGATGGCGTGTGTTTTGTCGTCCACATTATTGAAAAAAGAAAGAAAAGCAAAATATTACGTGTTGTTTTACGTTCTTCTGTAATGCATGCCAGCGATTGCTAGGAAAACAAAAAAATATAAATTATTCATTCTAATGAGTTCTTTGATGATATTAATATATGCTTCATACATTCAAGATAATGTCGTCTACGAAACGAGGACGAAGATATTCTACATATTCATAATGATTCATGATACAGGTCTCATATATTGCTAATAAAAAAATATATCTTCTTCTGTAATCAAAATAGAACGACCTCTTTCTTCGAACATCGTGAAGGATTTTTATTGGTTATGAATGATTCATAGGAATTATTTGTTTTCTATTTATTTACTTGCAAATCGGACCGACTCAGTTTTATTTCTCTCCCACTCGTTTTATTTTCTTCTCGTTTACAAGCCTCCTCTATTTGTTCAGTTAATCAAGGGAACAAATACTTAAACGGCTTTCATAATTATATTTACACGTAGATCAATTATCTTTTCAGAAAACTCTAGAACAAATTTCGAATATTTTATGTTATTCAATTAAAAAAATATGACTGTTGTTACACCTCCACCATCATCTGATGGTGAAACTCAACAGCAGCCACAATCTCCATCGAATACAACATTCGAATGGAAAACATTAATTGAAACATTTAGCGATAATACGAACAGTACAAAATATAATGAACTAATTCAATCAATTTTACGATGGTTTGTTATCAGATTACATAAGAAAAATGAAATGAAAACTTTCCCTATATTTTTGTGTGTGTTTTTTCTAGGGAAGATCTGTTAAGTCGACCAGATCCACTAAATGAACAGTTTTTAAATCTATTTGCTATCGTAGCAACACATTATCTTGTTGGAGGATTGGCACGAGGTTTGATAAACATATTTTTAAAAAGTTTCTTGTTCTCATCAAGTTCTTTTTTTAGTTGAACGTTTTTATTTTACCGATGTGATAAATGTAGGAAAGTTGTTATTAAAATATCTTTTACAAAATACTTTACCAAAAACAAATGATACTAATCGAGTAAATATCCAGCTTTGTATTTTCTTTTCTTGTTATGAGTAAACTCTTATTATGACTTTAGATATCAACATTAAACGCAATTAAATCATTATGTTATTCTCAAACATTTCTTTCATCATCGGAACTTAAAGATTATTTAGAATTAATTAAAAAAGCCGATGGGCCACAAATAAATAAAGATGGTAACAACAAAAAACGAAACAATTTATTTTGTTTTGTTTACTTTTTCTATTTAATATCAATGATTTATTTAGATCGTCGATTACGTTCATCGAGTAAAGCAACGATCGCTCGACGTGAAACTGGTTTAGTTGATTCATTATGCAATGCTGTTTTATTTGATTTGTCAACATCAGATGATTCATCGCATGGAAATAAACGTGAAAGACCACAATCAGCTGGATCATCATCAAAATTAACATTTCCTAGTAAGTTAATTAAACTAGACTTTTATAAATAAATTATTTCAAATAATTTCTCGATTAATATTCTTAAATTGTATAAGATAAACTCAAACTTAGAAATATGCAAGACTCGAGAAGAAGAGAATGAAACTTTACGATATTAAACTCAAAACTATAGATTACATTGAAATGTTATCTTTGTTTTCGAGTGAATCTTATCTATAAATATAAACTCGGAAGCGAAGACTAAGAAAAAAGGTGACCCTCATCTGCTGAATTAATCAAAAATATGTATTTAAGAAGTTTATAGAGATTTGTTCTGGATAAATTTTGAATAAAAACCTCTTCTAGGCCCGGACTATTGCAGCTGCAAAGAAAAAGAACTTGGTTCTACGGATTTCTACTCAAGATATTATTAACTCTTTCTAGATAAAACTTAACATCATGTAAAGACAGTTTATAATAGTACTGAAAAATTCCCAGTATAAATCCGAATAATTTCATTATTGACCAACATTACTCAGTTAAAAATTTATATACTTTCAACTTTGCAGTCCTATTTCGTAAACATTCAGTTCAATATACCAAACTCATGAAATAATGTTTATTATTGCTTCATTTAAAAAAAAGCCTAAATTTTAGGATTCCATTCAAATTTCCTCTTCCGGAATAGCGGCGAATTTGAAGTAGGTCACCGGAGGCCATCGCTCCTTCCGTCCGAATTAGTTTCTTACCAGAAGCCGACATGACCTCTCATTTGACTTCAAAACATTTTGTTATTATGTTCGAGATGCACGATTTAGAACTTCATGCGGATGAACATCATTTTCGGAAGTACGAACACATAGCATGCAGTACAATAAGCTCAAACAGAAAAAGTATCTTGTATCTTTAGGGCAGCTATCGAAGTTCGATAGAGAAAAATATTATTGAAAGCATAAAAATACAGTTCGTTCGAATCAGAAAGTTTTGGATACGACGGGTTCTAGTAGAGAGTAGCCTACTGGTTCTTTGGAAGGGTGTTACATCCATGCTGGATAGTACGTTGCTAATTTTTTTTTGTTTCAATGAGCATTAATTACTTTAAACCGTATTTTGTTTAAATTAATCTCTAATGGTTTAACTCGTATTAAAATCGTAGCAACGATGTTATTGTTAGTAGAACCCTGTGGAGTCAAATGTCTTGACTTGCATATACACTTATTTTTGTGCTATTTGTAATGAGAATACCTCTAATTTTTTGCTTCATAAAACTTGTCCATGAATGTATAGTCTATTTTTCTTTTCATTGCGTAATATATGAAGAATAAATTTGTTACTATGTAAGAGAAAATAAATACTTCACTTCTGACAGAAGATTCTAATTAATAGGCTACGAATTTTTACCATTTGAAAAATATTTAATTGTAACTCATTTTACATATTCATTTTTAGAACATATGAGTCAACTTCTATTGAATGATTTCAAACAATTGCATGGTGAACAGTATTTTAGTGAGATATTGTTTCATTTGCCATTGATAACTGAAACAAAAATTACTATAAAGGATATTCTTCGTAATAATATAATTATACCTGGTAATGATACACAATTTCAAGAGAAGTATGTTTTCTTTTTCTTTCTTTTTTTTTTATCTAAGATTTATTATTATTTTATTGTTTAAATAGCTTAGTATCAATTAAAAATGATCTTGATTTTGTACGTCGTGCGATGCAATTACCAGTTATTGAACCACTTGATGAAAATCGTCTAAATAAATTTATTATTATGTCATTAAATTCACTTTTAATTGCATTAAAATATGTTCGTTTAGCTATAAATAATGATGATATAATAACTAATGATCAAATTTTACATGATATAGCACGTATATGTATTAAACTCGGTGATATAATACGATATTCACCTCGACTTGAGAATTCACGAAATATTTTTCTTAATTATCATCTTTTATTAGCAATTACATTAACAAAAGGAATAAAAGAAATTCTTCAATATATTAATAATAATAATCAAAATGAAACACAACAACAACAATCAAAAATGTAAGTTAATTTTAAAATTTTTATTCTTTTTTAAAATTTTTGCTATTAGATCAATAAATAATCTATTAATTCATCTTATTGGAATTCTAATGTTTTCAACTAGAGAATTAATTAATGATATATCATATTCTGATTCTAACATTGAAATAATTGATTCTTTTAATGAAAAATTTTCATTTACAAATATAACAGATTTACTTCAATCATCTCAACGTTATTTTTATTTAAAAGAATATCAAACATTAAAATTATTTTTAACTATTTTATATCGTCTTATTTCATCATCATCAACAACAACAACAACAACAACAATAAAAATATCTTCAACAATTCCTGATGCACCACCATTACCACCAGAAACTCCATCAACAGAAAATATAAGTGAAGATACATTTGGTATAAAAAATTTATTTGATGAAACAAATTCAGTAAATTTAACAAATACTTCAACAACTCAACAAACAATTTATCGTTCATTATCAACAAATAATCGTAAACGAACAATATTAAATCGTTGTTTAGAAATTGATTTATGTTCGGATGAAATTTTCGATCAAGATGATCATTATGATTTATTAAATTATCTTGATAAAAATTATTTAAATACAAATATAACTATTCTTATTAATGATCTTACAATAACATTAAATACAAATGAACAAATTGAAAATTTATCATATCTAATTAAACATTCATTAATAATACCAAGATTTATTCATAATCTTATTCAAAATGATATATTAACACATACAAATGAAAATTTATTACTTGAAAAACTTGATCTTTCATTAGATCAATCATGGCCATTAAAAGTTTCTATTAATAATTTAATTATACTTCTTAAAATTGTATTAAAACGTAAAAATCATGAATTAATATGTTTATTATGGGATAAATTTCTTCAAAGTATAACAAATTCATCTGATGAATTAGTACTTGAACATTTAGAAATTTTTATTATATTTTTTCATCAATTAACAATACCACAACGTAAAAATATTCTTTTACAACTTGTTCAAATTATTCAATCAACTAAACATAATATTTATTTATTAATTTTATTTGAATATATTATGTTTAATTTTTATGAAATACCAGAAGAAATTATTGAAAATATTCAACAAATATTATTAAAAAATGATATTACACCTACAACTAATTTTAATCAAATTGTTATCAAAAATAATTCAAATTATCTTGATGGATTTGCATTAAAAAATCTTTATAATAATCCTATTTATGATAAATTTTACAATTATCTCATAGAACAATTAGATTTTACAAGAATAAATAAAGGTAACAACATATAATCAATCATGCGATTAGACATATACAGGGTCATTCTATCCTTTTCAGTCGGATAGGATCAGAATAAAGGGTACGAAAAACAATAATCTTGCACGTCTACTATCCACATGATACTATTTTACTATGTGGTACTTTTAGAATCTTGTAATTAGAATGTAAAGCGTGAAAAAAACTTTCACTTCTATATATCTAATGCAGATAAATAACCTATGTCAAGAAAGTCTTCGTACAAAATATTTGCTCATTTTTGAGTCCCTCAGAAACAACTAGTGAGAGTCAAAAGCAATTAGTAAGACTTAGAATTTTTTGCTCTTTTCGAATATGAGCTCAGAAATTTTGTGTCAGTTTTTGTTCGAAAGTAATGAAGAAATCTTTGAAAGGCCTAAAAAAAAAACAGTTTTGACGGAACGGGCGACCTAAAGTTTCTAGACGCAGTGCTTGTTCGTTTTTGGCTAGCTTTAAAATATTTGAGAAGATTGAAAAACTATGGATCATGACCAGAATACTATGCTCTTTCGGAATATGTACTCAGAAATTGTGTGTCTGTTTTTCTTCGAGAAGGGTGAGGAATTCTTTGAAAAGCATTAAAATTGGTTGGGACGGCAAACAAACAGGTTTTTGCTAATTCCCATAAGTCCCTTTGCGAAGACCCTAAGAATTGTCGGAGTTGGCGATTTTGTAGAGCGAACTTTTTTTTACAGAACGTGATATCGCATTAAGCTATAGTTTGAAGTTATAACCATTTTCTCAAAAACTACTTTCTACGTAAAACGCGCTTACATCAAAAAGCCGATTTTTTTTTGAAAATGAGGGTCATATTGAAAAACGAAAATTTAGGTGCTTTCTTGAAAGACAAAAAGAAAGTAAAATAGTGAGTTTTGTAGAGTAAATTTTACTATACAAGCTGATATATCAACAAACGTTTCAACATTTAGTTTCGGATCCCAATAATGAGCATGTGCGAAAAACATTTTCGTCCAAACTTTGTTTTTAGGCCTTTCAAAGATTCCTTCATTACTTTCGAACAAAAACTGACACAAAATTTTTGAGTGCATATTCGGAAAGAGCAAAAATTTCTAAGTCTTACTAATTGCTTTTGACTCTCACTAGTTGTTTCTGAGTGACTCAAAAATAAGCAAATATTTTGTACGAAGACTTTCTTGACATAAGTTAGTTGTTGTATGAAAATTAATATCCAAGTATTAGCTCATCGATCATGCTGCATACAAGAAATTTCATTTTTTGAAGCTTGATATTTTTCACGTGAATGGCAGACTTCAGAAGTTTTCCAAATATTTCTTGCATTATTTAATTACTGTTTTCGCTTGAGTTGTATATCTGGATATTATAACAATTGTTAAAAGCTTTAATAAGTCTGTCTACATTAGATGAATTGAGAATAATTTCTATGACAAAAAAAAAACAGAAGAAATGTCGCTAGATGTACAATGACTTTTGAGATGTGTCTTAGTTTATTAGCCAAACTACAATTGAAATCAGAGAACATCGGAAAGTAATTCATAGATATGGATATTTCGTCTCCTATTCTAACATTTAATTGTCAAGAACGAAAATTATTTTACCGCACAATAGAATTTTCCATATTGCAAGTCGATTGTGAACATGATTCGAGGCGAACTATGGTATTTTGTTGGAAAGTTTAGTAAAATATCCATCGCTCAAATACGAAAATTCATGACTATGAATATTTTTTCGAGATTTACAAAAGATTAAATAACTTAAGATCGATCACATTTGAATTTAGATTCTATACATAAGATAGACTCCAGTGTGCTCTAGAAAAAAAACCCAAAAGGATAAGTCTTCTGAGACCGTCTCTCGAGAGTTATAATCATTCCACTAGAATTTTAGGCTCAGATATGGTAAATACCAACCGATCGAATGACAATATTTCGACCTGAGGTTTTTCTCAAAGGCAAATCTATTTTGTCAACAGAAAGCTCAAAAAAATATTTTCTTTCCGAAACATTAACTCTCCAAATATCACTCATGCTCCATGAAAGATCCTAGAAATTTCTTTAATATCTTGAGAAAGAAATGTTTTTTTTTTAATTGAAATTTTCACTATATTCCACTGGCAAGCATACCTGTCTGTGGGCAAAAATTCAGATTGAAATACCGTCATTCGATTTGTTAGTATATACCACATTGGAGGCTCAACTTGTATCAAAATGTCTATAAGTCTAAATAGAATGTCTAAGATGACTTATCCTTTTAAAGTTTTCCGTATCTCATTGAACTCTACTTTTATGGAGTAAGTCCGAATTGAATAGTGATTGACTAGTTGAAAACATTCTCTCATAATATCGTATGTTTTAGAAGGATTGAACAATACATTAATCAAACAATATTATGATCTTTTATGGCGAATACTTGGTTTTTTACCACCATCAAATGAATTTCTTGAAAATATGAATACATATAATGAAACAACACATTTATTACATTTATTTCGTCTTGAAAAAAAAATCATACATGATAAATATATAAAAGAATTTCTATCAAAAGAAATAACATTTACTAATATTCAATGGTTTAAAAATATTGATAAAAAATCATATTCATTATTTGATTTAATTGTTTATCAAATTTTATTACAAAATTTATCTTCAACATCAGAAGAAATAAATCCTTTATATAAAATATTTCTTCATGAATTTAAATTATCATTAAATATAAATTCATCTATAGAATCATTATTATTAATACCTATAACAAAAAATCTTGAAGATAAAACTAAAACAATAACAATTCCAACATTACCAAATGATTTTGAAGAATTATTTAAATATCAATTAAATTATACATTAGAACAACAAGATTTAAAATATGTATTTCTTCGAGAAATTCTTCAAATATTAACAACAATTAATTCTGAAATAAATGATAAACAAATATATATTGAAATACAACTTAATACAAATTTACAATTTCTTAAAGATCATATTAAATTAAAAGATCTTAATACAGAAACAATACAAAATGATTTAAATGAATGTATATATAAAAATATATTTGAAATATTATTTAATAAAAATTTTCCAAATGATATTATTAATGATGATATTTATCATGATTTAATTAAATATCTTGATGAACAATTTCAACCAAATATATTTCAAAATTGTTTAACACCATATAATTTATTTGATTTACTTTATTTAACATCAAAACCAAATTTATCATTATCAATATTTGCAAGAATGTTAATGTTATTTAATAAAATTTTTTCATATTCAAATCAATTTCAATCATTAATACAAAATTTAAATAATATTGCGAATTTAACTAATGAACAATTATCACAATGGTTATCAAAACTTGTTTTATTACAAAATAATGAAAAAAATCCATTATATACACCTGAACAATATAAACATATATTAGAAACATTTACAAAATATTTAATTAAAAAAAATGATGATGGTACAAATATGATTGGAGAAGAAGTTTCATTATCAATTTTATCTGTATTAATACAATTAGGAAATGAATTATTAAAACCAAATAAATTTGCATTAGGTTTTCCACAAATTATACAATTATTAGTTATTTTAGCTGGACATGGTTCTGGTAATGGACATACATTTTTATTTCAAGCTGCAGCTATTTGGTTAGAATTTTGTGCTGATACACTTGCAGATAAAAATGATAAGTAAGATTTCTTTTTTATAATTTTCATTCTTTTTGAACTCTTAATTTTTTGTGTCTATATTTTTAGTTCTACATCACCATTTTTATCATCACTTCTATCAACATCTTCATCTACTGAATCTCTTACATTGTTTCATAATAATATTCTCGAAGCAAGTGTTTATTTACTTGCTTATATAAATGATATTCTAATAGCTTTAAAACATTTATCAACAAATGATTCAATATCTTTAAAATCTTCTTTAAAACTTGATGAAACCGATGATGAAGATGATGATTCACAAGATGATGAAGATATAAATAATGAACAAAAAAAAAATCTTCTTTCATCAACAATTCAACCAGAATATGATCCTAATAAATTATGTACTTATACAACAACAAAAAAAGAATATGCTAATCAACATTGGTATCATTGTCATACATGTAAAATGATTGATCGTGTTGGTATATGTCAAATATGTGCTAATGTTTGTCATAAAGATCATGATATATCATATGCAAAATATGGTTCATTTTTTTGTGATTGTGGTGCTAAAGAAGATGGTTCATGTCAAGCATTAGTTAAACGTCCAACATCAACAACAACAATTGCTCAATCGATTACACCATCAACAATACAAAAGAAAAAAATTAAAAAATTATCATCATTATCAAATAAAAAACCTAAATTAACAAATCGTCAACGTCGTTTAATTCGTCAAATTAATTCTAAACAACAAGATTATAATTTATGTATACAAAATAAACATATGCCATATAATACATTACGTTTATTTAAATTACTTCAACCATATATTGATAATCAATATCAACAAATATATAATATTGAAAATAAATTTGATTTAATATCGGAATATTTAAAAACAAATAATCAATTATTATCTACTGAAAACGATGAAAATAAACAACAACAACAACAGCAATTATTTTCTGGTATTCTTCATTCCCAAGAAAATGCATTTGAACATGTTAAATTATCATTTACAAATGAACATGGACAACAAATAAAACAATTACTTGGTACAAATTCAATACGTCGTCAAGGTATGTGTATTATGTCATCATTAAATCCAGAACAAACAAAACAACATTTAATTGTTAGTCAAGAAAAAGGTAAACAAGCTATGATAACTATATTACAATTAAATTCATTACTTAAACAAACAACAACAATGATTAATAATAATATAACAAATGATAATACAACAAAAAAAAAATTCACATTAAATAAAGTAAATACACTTAATATACCATTTACAATATTATCAATGCAACCAAATCAATTAAATAGTGATTATTTATGTATAACAGGTTTAAAAGATTGTCATATATTAAATATTGATAATAATGGACGCTTAAGAGAACCAACTATAATTCTTCAACCAAATTTAGATTCAACCGGAAATTATATTATACGTGCACAATGGTTATCAGATAAAAATCAATCACAACTTGCTTTATTAACAGCTGATTTTATTAAAATTTATGATCTGAGTATTGATACACTTAGTCCAATTTATTATTTTATTCTTCCAACAGGTAATTAATCAATTAGGCATTTTTTTTAAAGTATAACTGTTATCATAAATGATTTGTGGCAATGTCTGACTACGGGGCAATTTTTTTTAGACTTGACTCATCAACTTATTAGTCTAGTTTTATTAAAATTCGTTATTTTCGACAAAAATATTGTATTAAACGAGAAAATCTATTTGGATTAGCATAACTCTCATCATTACTGATTCATCGATTTTGAGTCAAGATTATCTGCATCATGTAGATCCTAATGAGCTATGAATATTGTAAGAGCAGCTGAGGACCTCTTAGCTAAGATATTGCATTTTTACGATAGTTTTTATGTCAATACTATGGTCTCCCTCAGAAAAAATTCATTTTCACATTTCGATTTTCCATAACGGCAGAGCTTAATGTGAATAATTTATAATGAAAGTTTCCGATACTTTGATTGTTTCTATCCTGAAATAAAGCTACGATAGAAACTACTCATACACATCGACACATTGGATGTTCTCATAACTAGAAAGAAGAAAATCAAAAGACTTGAAATTTTCACAATAAACTATTCTTATTAATGCGTCTGTCTCTGCCCAGAGTTTAAAGTCAAATTTGATTTTCCTTTTGTCCGTATTTCCACGGGCCAAAACACAGTGAACAATTCCTATAGATCACATGGACATAGTTTATTTCGTATTGAATTTGTTTTTTTTTTTTTTACAAGAATACCAGTTTTTACTTATCAGAAATCAATTACTGATAAAAAATTGTATTTCAGAAACTAGAAGATTATACATCATTCGATGCAGTTTTTCATGTTGATTTCGAATATGTCATCGCTTTTGTATAAAAGTACTTTAGAAGCCAGAAAATCATGATAAACCTGTAAAACTAAGATTTTTTGGGAAACCTCTTAACTCAATCCAGAAGCATTTGGGCATCTTTGCGCTATTAGAGCAGACATGTCACACAGACAAAACAACATTGTGTGAAGATTTCGTAGGATTTGAAGTTATGTTAAAGTGTGCACACCCACTACGCTCAACATGTCTTTTTTGAAAGCTCTCAGCTGAGAAAGAATACATATTTTTTCCAATGAGGTTAGTGTTAGGACAAACTTTTTGTTATAGAACTATAGCGCAAGAGTTCTACTTTTAGAATCGGTATGAATTATTCTATAGATATTTTCACTTTCTTCGGCATTCTTGGGAAAAAAAATACTTTTCTCTACGATGACTGAAATCTGGTCACTGTTTTTTCTTAGTGTAAGATTTTCCTAATGTCTTAAGGAATTGAAATGAATTGTTTCTACAAAAAAGTTGGCCATTGGCTAAAGTATAATAGACATTATTCAAATCGTGAAAAATATCATTTTCATTTTTTTATCAAATGTCCACTTTCTTGCCCACTGTATCACATAAAGTCCGATGCTCTGTGTGTTTGTGGTCGCATGAATTCATGCATTATCTTCTGTGTTGGTGCTTAATTGAGTTTTCGTGGATACTAATAGAAGACATCAATGATCAGTTAAGAAACTTCCCTTGGTAGATCTTCTTCCTAGTTGACGACTTTGCTTTACACGTGATACTAATTAGATTTTTTTAAAACATTTTTCTCTTTAGGTAAAGTACGTGATTGTACATTTTATTATACAAAACGTAATAATATTGAATGTTGTTATATATTAATAATGGCTTCAAATGGTTATATATATTATGAACAATTATGTGAATCATCATCAGCTCGTAATGGTTCATTTTATGTAACAAATACACTCGATATAAAACATGAAGCAATTAGTGAAACAAATAATAATGGTATTTTACTTGGTGGTGGTGTATCTGTTTATTTTTCTTCAACATTAAAACTTTTATTTTGGTCATATGTTCATGGAAAAAATTTCTATGGTATTATTGATGAAACAAATATAGAAAAATTATTAATGATACGTTCAATTGATGTTAAAATGACACCAACAACAACATCAACATCAACATCAACACCAACGCCAGCATCAACAAATGGTAATAATAAATCAACATCAACATATCATACATTGTGTTCATGGTCAGAAATTCCTCATCATCCTGGTTTAATATATACAATGACACAAATGACAAATAATCCTGTTATATTAATGATAACGCCATCAAATGTTCGTTTAAGTGAAATAAAAATGCAATTAAAAACAACTAAAATTCAAGATATTGTTGCTATACGATATGAACAACGAACAACATTTATATTATTAGCTGATGATTGTAGTTTAAAGATTTTCTTAGCTGAATTAGATAAAACAAATTATTGGTTAAATAAATTATATCAAAAAAAGAAATATTTTCCTATGATTGATTTAGATTTAAATGAAGAATATTTTGATTATGATAATAATAATTATCAATATACATTATCAGATAATGAAACAGATGATCAACAAGAACCAATTATAAAACGTCGAAAACAAACAATTACAACAACAACAACAACAGCAACAACAGCAGCAGCAGCAGCAACACCATCATCAACAATTAATCCAACAAATGAATTAACAAATGGTTCAGTTAAATTTCCTGTTGATTTTTTTGAATCATGTCAATTATTAACTGAATATGAATTTGGTGGACGTGATTTACTTGATGTTTATAATGTAGCACAACTTAAATTACGTTTATCAACACCAGGAATGTTTATTGCAAATGTTCGTACAGGTGGTTTTACACTTGAAGTTATTAATAAAGATTCAGATAATAAAGTTATGACAGGTGTACGAATACATATTGGTCTATATTCAATGGATAAATCACCACAATATTTTGAATTATTTGGACGTACTATACAGGTTACTAATTTACAAGGACCACGTTGGTATGATTTATGTTTAACACGTGAAGAATCAATACAAGCTGAAAAAAAATTTAATATATTTATTGCACAGTCTATTGATACAAATCATACAACTGTTATTGATGATGTTAAAGTTTATGGTAAAACAAAAGAAGAATTTCAATGGCCTGAAAATGTCGATGGATCATTATTAACATCAACAGCTAATACAGGAATGACAACAGCAGCAACAACAACAACAAATGCAATTAATGAATATTTACATTCATTTAGAGAAACAAATGATGAAAAAGAATTAGCTACATTACCTTTACCAGATAGGTTTGTAAGAAGTTTTAGATTCAGGTGTCAATAATACAATATTTGAGTTCCGATCATTGACTGATTAAAAATCTATCGAGTTTTTTATGTTTCTGTTAAGATCAGTGATTCTCATTTAAAACGTAAACAGAAATTGTTTTGACATGATTTTAAAAATATATGTATCGCTTGTTTTTTTCAATGCATTTTCATTGCTGAGAAAATCAATTAACATTAAAAATTACGGAATTTGATATTACATCCGCTAAGTGCTTTGCAATCAAAACAGACAGTTTTCAACCTAGAAAGCTAAAAATATGGATGTGTAGGCATTAAAACAATCTTTTTTTTTTCTCTGACGACGGAAACTCTTCAGTTGCTTTCTTCTAATTTCAATGATTTGTTTTGTCTATAGATACTACATAATTTTCCCATGAAAACCTTAAAAGGATTTGAATTCCTATTGATATTTGTTTAAAACTTGTGAAGTATTTTAAAACTATTGGAAGCCTTTACAGAAAATTATTTAGTTTTTCTTGGCTAAAATGGAAAAAAAAGTGCCAAATTTTACATTATCAATTTAGAAAATTCTATTCATAGAATTTATTTGATATATATTATTTTATTTTTATGCTTTTCAGGTTACTTGTCTATAGTATGCAAGTATTAACTGGTTCATTATCTTTACATCATAATCTTGATGAACAAAATCGTTCAAAATTAAATTCTGATATTGTACAATATACATCACATATGTTTCATATGTCTTTACCACCACAAATTCAACGATATTCTCGTCGTTTATTAAAAGAATTTTTTTCATCAATATCATCATCAGATTTTGATTATTATGAACATATTGATCGTTTACAATTAACATTTTTATCTCAATGTTTTTCATCAATGAATTATTTAGAATTATTTAATGATATACAATCTTATGAATATTTATTATTATCATTATTATCAATAACACGTCGTCGTCCACATAATATAAATCGATATTTAAATATAACACAAAATGAATCAAAAGATGCTATATCAAAATCAGCATCAATGGATATCTTTATTCCATATTTAATAAATATATTTTTTAATTTATTAAATCAACGTTCATCAAATCCATTACTTGAATCAATTGATAATAAAACAATTAATTTAAAACAAATCGAAAAACTTCTTCATATACTTGTTGATATATATCATTCATTAGCATTAAATGAACCACAAATATGTATGAATTTAATTGTTAATTCTTATATACGTTTATTAACATATCATGATTATCATATTAATTTTATAATTAAAAATGCATTAAATCGTTGTATGCAACCTAAAATTCAACGTTTAATATCAAAATTATCAACAGCAAGTGATTTAAATCAACCTGATACAAATGATAAACAATTTCATTCAATACCATTATCAGCAGCTATTTATACAACTGAACAACAAAATCGTCCACGTTGGACAAATATACCATCAACAGAAACACCACCATTACCACCACCAACCACAACAATAACAGATCCAATTATAACAGATGAAACAGCTATGTTACAATATGCACTTGCATTAAGTATGTCAGAAAATCTTGATCAAATTTCATCACCACCATCCGTAACAACAAATACAAATATTCAACAAACAATTGAATATGTTGATAATGATGATGAAACACCATCAACAACACAAAATGATATTGAAATAAATGAAATGATGGAATTAATGGTTAATACAGATAATATTAATCAACAAACAACAAATATACAAAATGATCATAGTGATAATAATAGTTTATATGAAGGTGATGATGGTCATGTATCAGAATCAAGTTCAACAACAAATGAAGGTGGTGAACAAAATAATGATACAATTAATAATGATGATAATAATAATAATACAACATCAACACCAATACCAACATCATTACCACCACCACCACCATTATCATCATCATCAAATGATTCAAATTCAACAATAAAATTAAATATAAATGAATCAATTGATTCTAATATATATGAACAACGTTTATATGATTTAAAACATTTAATTGTTGAAAAATTATTAGATAATCTTGATGAATATTTATTAAATAATTCAACATTAAATGGTTTAAATTCTATAGCTTATTTACAATTATTATTAACATTAACTATTGAATTTGCATCAAAATCTGATAATAATAATCAAGAATTTGTTCATTATATATTAAAAAGTTTATTAAAACAAATGACATTTTTAAAAGATATTAATCAAAATAATACTAATGATTTAATTAAACGTACATCACAACATGAAATACAATTAATGTTATTAAGATTATTTACTGTTTATGTTTCATTTATGCTTAAAGTACGTGATAATGAACGTGAACAATATTTACATTTATCATTAACAGCAGCTAAACAATTAGAAGAATCAAATGTTGTTAATTATTGTTTATATGCATTACAAATTGTTTATAAATATTTATTAAAACAACCAATTGATGAAAATTTATTAAATGAACAAACTATGTTATCACCAAGTGGTACAACAACATCAACAACTAATACACAAACATCATCAATATCAATAATGACACTATTAAAACCAATCAATCAACAATCATTACCTGATTTATCACCTTTCTTTTATAAACAATATACAAAACATCATGCAAATGATGTTTTTGAAGCATATCCAGAATTATTAGCAGAGATTGCAACAAGATTACCATATCAAGTAAGTTGACAAAAATAAAAAACGATCACTTTAATATTTTTGTTTCATTCTCATAGATGAAAAAAGTAATTGATTATACGTCTGAATCACGTCCATTTTTACTTTCATCTGATTGGCAAAAATGTCTATGTGAATATTATGTCTTACCACAAGGTTCATTTCTTAAACGTCAAATTCGTAAATTACTTATGTATATATGTGGTTCACGTGATAAATATCGTAAATTACGTGATTTTCATGTTTTATCAACAAATTTAGCTGAAATAAAAAATATACATGAAGAAAATTTTTCATTAAATAATACAGAACAACGTAAAACAATGTCAACACAAATTCCTTATGTTACATTAATGCGTCTTGTTGATCATTTAAAATCTTGTCAAGATATAAGTATTCAACGTTGTTCAAATTGGCAAAAATTTTGTAAAAATGATCCAACAATATTACATTTTCTTGTTCAATTAATAATGCTTGTTGATGATTCATTAGTACCATTTATACTTCATTTATTAATTAATTCAATATCATCACCATCATCATCAACAGCAGCAACAGCAACAGCAGCAACGGCAACAACATCAACATCAAATCGAACATTAAAAACAAGTAAATCATCGGTTCGTCCAAATGATTTTGATTCAACTGATGATATATCAATATGTTCAATAGCTTTACAATTTTCTAAAATCATATCAAATAAATTATTAGAAGATTTTATTCGTTTATTTTTATTAGAAAATAATCAACAATCTATACGTTGGTTAACACATACATTTTTATATAATTTATATATAAATTCAAATAAACAATTACAAGATTATATATTTGATTTATTAATTAATTTATGGTCAACCATATCATATTATGGTTTAAAATCCTTTCAATATATTGATTTATTAGGTTATATTATAATTAAAAATAAAGATGATAAACGTACAAATGAATTTTTACCAAAATTAGAATTAATGTTAAAAACACAAAATCAATTATTATTAAATCATCCAAATACATCTATTTATCGTCGTTTATCAACAATAATTGATATTGAACAAAATAATGGTTATTATTTTGAAACTGAACCATGCTTAGTTTGTAATAATCCTGATATACCTTATCAACAAGTTAAATTACAAACAATTAAACTTGATCAACGTTATACAACACAATCACATATTGTTAAATTAATACAAGCATATTCAATACAAAAATTACATATTAAAATGTCAGAAATAAAACGTAATAAAGCTGTACGTACAATACGTTTTTATTATAATAATCGTCATGTACAATCAATAGTTGATTTAAAAAATAGTGTTAATTGTAAATGGTTATTAGCTAAAACAATTAAATTAACAAATATACAACAAACAGAAGTTAAAATTGATTTTGTTATACCAATTATTGCTTGTAATTTAATGATTGAATATGTGGATTTTTTTGAAACACCAACATCTAGCATACAAACAGTTACAGACACAACAACATTACAATGTCCAAGATGTAATTCAGCTGTGGCAGCAACACCTGGCATTTGTCCTAATTGTGGTGAAAATGTTTTTCAGGTTCGAATAGCAAAAAAGAATTCACTGATATAGATTTCGAAGCAGTACTTATAGATTGTGTTTCACAAAATGAAAATAGAAGATTTTATGTCTCGAGTTTCTTGAGAAAAACAGACCTCGTAATGCTTTAATGACATGTCTTTTAATATTCATTTTTTTAGACTTTATTGTTTTTCCAAATAGATTCACATTTTTATACTTTTCCTATTTAACAAACTCACCTTAAAATCGAACAGTTTAATGTATTTAATTCTAGATTATTCGATGACGAATAATCCTTGATGATGGAAGAGGGAAAGTTGTTTTCACTTCAATTAAATTAAAGAATATTCTTGCAAAACTTCATCATCAATCAATTACATAATAGTAGAATCAGAGCAACTTTTTCTTCTCCATTAATTATTGAATAATTCAGATTTAAATACATTGATTAAAAGAAATATCATTAGAATACTAACATTTTACTTAGGACATTCGATTGATAATATGTAGTTACGGATTTCAGATTGGGTTCGAAACCGTTACCAAATAGCCATCAGCATTATCGATATGTTTAAACTAGAAAAAAAAAATTCGATATCATTTATCGATAATTAACAATAGAATGTATTCATCTCAAAGTAAAAAGATAATAAATTCCTTCTGAGAGTTTTTCCATATCATTTTTTTCTCGATAATTAATTGAGAAAGCTATGTATATTTGATAGGTTCTATATTTATACACATTTTTAAATATCACCAGATAGATAATCTATAATAATAAATTTATTTATCTTTGTTTTTTTGTTTCAAGTGTCATAAATGTCGATCAATAAATTATGATGAACGTGATCCATTTTTATGTAATTCTTGTGGTTATTGCAAATATTGTAAATTTGATTTTATTTTTACTGCTAAACAAGTTAATTATGTTGAACCTATTGAATCCGATGAAGATCGTGCTAAAACAATTGCTAATATAGGTCAATTATTAGAAAAAACCGATAAAATCTATCGTCAATTAATTAATCAAAAACCAATTCTTGAATATTTATTAACAAAATTAAATTCTGATGATCAAAATTCAACATTAATACCTTCATTATCAACAACAACAGCAACAACAACAACGACAACCACAACAACAGCAAATACAACAACAACCGGTGAAACATCTGATCAACAACAACAACCTCCTACTGTACCAACACCTACAATAACATTAACATCAGCAAATAATCCAAATGGTATTAATCGTATTGTTCAACAAATAGCACCAAAATATAATACTGAATGTCGTCAAACATATGATGAACTTGGTAAATGTATACAAAAAATTATATGTACACGTAAAGAACTTTATACATATGATCAACGTCATTCAAATTCATCATCAACAACAACAACAATGATGATGATAACAACAATACCATCACGTTCACATCATTGTTATGGTTGTATATTATCAACAATATCACATTGTATATTACTTTTACGTGCATTTATTACATCATCAAATCGTTTAAAACAATCCATAACAAATAATATATCATTAATTGATGAATTATTATTAAATAATATACGTTATACAAATCAACAAATACGTCATGATGTACGTTTATTATTTTGTTATTTAACACGTGATAATATACAATTAACTGATTATATAACAACAAAAATTTTAAATAAAATAGAAATAATATTTCAACAAAAATTAATTTTATCATCATCATCATTAATTAATTATGATTTATTAGTACTTTTTTCTTTAATACAGCGTTCAAATCAAGATGATCAAGATTTATGTTGGGAAAATAAATTACGTTGTATATTTAAATTATTTCTTTATTCATTAAAAATCTCAACACCACAAATACTTGAATTAATAACATTACCTTGTTTAAGAATGTTATTACATTTATCAAAATCACAAATAACAACAAATACAACAAAATTAATATCAATTGATATTGAAAAATTTCTATCAAAACAATTAACATATAATGATTGGAATAATAATTTAAATGATAATAATAATTTTTCTTTAACAAATATTAATAAATCATGGTTAGAAAAATTAATATTTTGTTCACAATCAGCAACCATACGTTATTTAACATGTAAATTAATACAAACACTTTGTATAAATGATAAACAAAAATTATTTATAATGCAAATATTAATTCATTATTTACATAATATATGTGATGAAAATCTTTTAAAATATTCATATGAATATGTACAATTAATTAAAGATTTATTATTAAATGATAATCAATTAAAATTAATTTTATGTAATGATGAACAATTTAATATAATTAGAGATATTGCTAAATTAATTGAAAATGAAATATTAATTATTAATGAACAAGATGAAAAAAATTTATTAAATTCAAATTTAACATTTGGTTATTCAATTAAATCATTAACAGAATTATTAAATATTTTCTTACAACAAGATGAATTAAAACAAAAATATAAATCAATATTAATTGCTATTGTATTAAATGGTTATTTAACATTAAAAAAATTAATTGTACAACGTACGAAATTAATTGATGAAGCACAAAATAAAATGTTAGAATTATTAGAACAAATGACAAGAGGTAATGAACAAGAAACAAGACAATTTATGATTATTTGTATTGATACAATTGAAAAATTTCAATTAGATGATATGCAAACACCTTTATTTATATTTGAACGTTTATGTAATTTAATTTATCCTGAAGAAACTATGCAAGAAAATAAAGAATTTTTTATTGTTGTCGAAAAAGATCCAAATCAAGAAGATTTCTTACAAGGTTTGTTTTAAACAAAAGCAAATTCTTATTTTCAGTTACATCTATTCACTTTCGAAAGATACTACTATCAATATTAGATATACATGTGTAGTAATAGGAACAAGTTGAAAATGAAAATTTTTTAAATAATATTAAAAATTAGAAGAATTTTATGCAATTATATTAAAAAAAGACAATTGAAAAGAAAAAGTGAAGTTTATAAATCTCAATTCCATTTTGGGTGTGGGTGTCAGAGATGTCCATCGCAGCTAGAAACCTGTCACTAACACTGTCGCGCTGGCGGCTGTGCCGCCGTGGATATAACTGCAAGGGCCCTGATTCTATGTTTGCGATGTATAGCTGAAATTGATTTTTACACCTTCAATTGAAGGGATATAATCGGTAGTCCCGCGTTCGATTGGCCCAGGAAATTCATTCTAATATAAAAATGTATATATATTTCATGATTAGTTGGCTTAGAGAATATGTGTAAAGAAAAATAAGAGCCCCCATCTGCATCGAAACCCTTGTATCGTTTTTCTTTCATTTGCATAATAGTGAGCTAGCTAATGTTTTACTTCGAATATATTTTATAAGTCAAAGAGAAACTAAAGCAATTATATACTGCCCCCAAAACTGAAGAATATTGCTTGGTATGTTCCCTAAACTTGGAAAAAAAAAGTGATCCACCAAAAGTTTTTGGAAAATAAGGTAGACATTCCCATCTACCACCACAGTCGCGCCAACTCTATACATACTGCATTAATTCAAAATATTCATTTTTACAAAAAAGAACTGAAGTTATAATTTGAACATGTTTTTCATACAAGTTGTTTTCTTTTTGTTTAACTTGCAATCAATAAACAATATAATAAAAATAACTTTATTTCTCTCTCGTTTTAGGACGAATGATGGGTAATCCATATAGTTCAGCAGATCCAGCTATGGGTCCATTAATGCGTGATATAAAAAATAAAATTTGTACTGATTGTGAATTAATTGCATTACTTGAAGATGACAATGGCATGGAATTACTTGTTGCAAATAAAATAATTAATTTAGGTTTAGCTGTTCGTGATGTTTATAAAAAAGTTTGGTTACCTTATATAAATTCTCATCAAGGAACTCCTTCAAATGCTGATCCAACAGCAGGTTCTCAACCAGTTGTTAGTCCATCACAAAATGAACATGAACCAATGCATATTGTTTATCGTATGCGTGGTTTATTAGGTGATGCAACAGAAGACATTATTGAAACATTTGATACAAAGAAAAACGCTAATGAAAATGGTGAAGATGATCCTGAAGATATATATCGTTTAGCTAATGTTCTTAGTGAACATTCAGGTTTAGAAACAATGCTTAAACGTTTAGATTCAATTCCTGATATGTCATCAGGAAAAGCTTTATTACAAATATTATTAAAATTACTTGAATATGCTATTAAACTTAAAGTCAATAGACAACGTTTAATTGATCCAAATTTACGTGCGATATCATCAATGTTAAATAAACTTAATTTATTATTAAAAACTGAGATTGAAGAACAAGGACGTGATCAAGGACTTTTATCATTAACAGAAAAACTTCTTTTTATTATGGATCAATTATTTCATGAAGCAAGTACAACATTATCACAAGATAAATATAATGAATTTTCAGTATCATGTGAAGGTTAGTTATTATTTATTAATTGTATCAATATTGAATTTGATTGATCCTCCATCGAAATACAAAGCTGACCAAAATAGTATTGTCTACAACTACTATTTTGAAATAATCTTATGATAGTTATTCAATTTTACTTCAGAAGGAAATATTTGTAACGAATGAAAAAGTCTAATTCTCGCTAACTGCTTCTAATTCTAACCATTTGTCTTTAAATGGTCGCAATATGATTGAATGACTTTCGCGCCATAGATTATTATAATCAAAGATTCATTTCCATTACTGAGTCAATACAATATTGTTACAGAGAATATTAAATAAATAAAAAATTCAACAATATTGAGATTATTAGTATATATACGAACTACTTCGCAACATACGAAGTTATTCCTTAATTAATGAACGATTTTTGAAACGTTGTTAGTAATTCGTAAGATTCGTCGAGTGTCAGAATATTATATTTTTGCATAGTGAAATAATGTGCAAATTCATGCAGTTTTGTAAGGATCACAAAATAAAAAAATAAAACGATAGCTCATGAGTTGGAATAGATCTCTTTCGAATATAGAAATTCTTTTATAATTATGAAATTTCATTTTGTTTTTATTAGGTGATATTGAACAATTACGTTTATTACTTAATTATATTAAATTACCATTTGTTAAAACACATCCAAGTATAATGGAAGCTCTTATTCATTTATTACCATATTTATCATTTGGAAATAAAGAAAAAATGCAAACATTACTTGATTATTTTAAATCATATTTAGAATTTGATCGATTTGATCTTGAACAAATATCATCATCATCAACAACAACAATAGCAACAACATCAAATGATAATGATAGTCAATTACATTTAGATTGTTTCTGTGAAATATGTAAGCATTTAGATAAAAAATCTGTTTATGGTAAAGAATTTCGTGATTATGTTAATGAATCCAATGGTATTATTGATCAATGTATAAATTATATTGAAACAAATTCACCACAAGTTAAAACATATTTAGGTATGCAAGATCAAGATAGTTGGAAAGAATTTTTAAATAAACCAAGTTTATCATATGTATTACGTTTATTAACTGGTTTATCTTATGGACATGAACAAATTCAAATGAAAATTGGACAAAGTTTAATACCAATTTTACATAAAATTGAACAATTAACAACAGCTGGTAAAGTTGGTGTTCTAGCTGAAGATCTTTTACATTCATTAACAGAAAATGAACAAGTTGCAAAAAAAATTGATGATGTTAGAAATCAAACACGTGCAGAAAAAAAACGTTTAGCACAAGAAGCACGTGATAGAAAAATGCGTGAATTAAATTTAACAAAAATAACACGAAATAAAAGTGAATCTGAATCATCAGCAACAGCATCGAAAATACCTGTACCTAATGTTGATTTAACTGATGAAACTGGTCATGTTTGTTGTATTTGTCGAGAAGGTTATAAATATTTTCCAAATAAAGTTTTAGCTATTTATACATTTACAAAAAAAATTGATATTGAACCATATGAAGCTAAAACACGAAAAACACCTGGTTATGCAACTGTAACACATTTTAATATCATACATATTGAATGTCATACATCAGCAATTAAACAAGCACGATCAAGAGATGAATGGGAATCAGCTTTATTACAAAATGCAAATACACGTTGTAATGGTTTATTACCATTGTGGGGACCTGATGTTGCTGAAGCACAATTTACAACAGCACTTGCAAGGTTTGATTTTGATAATTATCTTTTCCTATGTGATGTAATGAGGGAATGTCTCCAACATTTATAAGAGTTCATCTCATTTTGGTCATGAGCGGTAAAAAAATATCTGAATTCTTTTGATCCGTTCAAATGTACGATCGAACTTTTATGTCCTGTTGAGTAGTTTTACAATATAAAATAAGGCTCAAATTTATTATGTACACAAAGACAAGTATGGATAGCAGTTAGAGAAGCATCGGATGAAGCTTTTTTGGTCCCGATGTCAATCCTAGCCACTGAGATCGGAACTAAGGTTGGTCTGACACATCTCTATGCGATAAGATAAATGTTTTGAATAGAAATGATTAATTTCCTTATAATTGTTAAACTATTATTATTTCTCTTTAATTTAGATATGATACGAATATTATCGAAGCAACAGGTATTCGTGAAACATCACCAACATTATCAATTCATGATATAAAACTTTTATTACTTCGTTTTGCTGATGTACAATCATTTAGTGAAGATACAGGTGGTGGTGGACGAGAATCAAATATACGTTTGGTTCCATATGAAATGCATACAATTCTTTATGTTCTTACAACGTAATAAATAAAACATTTGTGTTCCTTATTTTGGTTCATTTTATTTCTCTTTTATTTTGATTTGTAGAACTCGACAAATTGAACGTGAAGAAAAATTATTACAAAATTATCTTAGTCGTCCTGATTTATTAATAAATGAAGCATTTGAAGTTGATGGTCCTTTCTTTCTAACAACATTATCATTGATTATAATGAAACCAAATGATTGGGAAAAAAATCGTCGTATTTTTCTTCAAAAACTTCTTCTTACTGCACATATTCGATCAGTTAATACACCAAATGATCGAACAAAGTAATAAAATTATTTTTAAAATGAAAACAAAAAACTCTATCTATTCTTTTTTTTTCTAGAATTGCTTCAAAAGCATTAAAACCATTTGCAACGTATAAAACAACTCTTGTCTTTTTTGGTCTTATCAACGCATTTTTTGTTCATATGTTAAATCCGGTAAAATATAGAAAAAACAAGAGACTGTTTCATGAAGAAAAATAAAATGTTTTTTTTTTTTTGTTTTGTCTTATAGCGTTTTGATACGACATCGACCATACCGTACAATCAACAATTGGCACAATTTCTTCGTTGTAATGATGCGTTTATTATGGAAGCATGCACAAAAATCTTAAAACATTTTGAACAAGATTTACTCTCAAGTCAAACATTTGAAACGTTATTTAATGCATTAGACTTAAGTCAATTATCAGAACAATGGATACAAGATGCTATTAATGTATTGCCATAGAAAGAAAGAAAGAAAGAAAAAAAAAACTTTTACGTGCAGTCTTTATTCATCCTTGAGCTTGCTAAAATTTACTTTTCTTTCCGTCTTGGATATTTTAAGTTTACTCTTCTTTTGTTTGTGTTTTTTTCAAGCTAAAAATAAAAATATATAAAAAAAAACGAGTGATCACTTCTTTTCTACACTGTTCTCTCATGTACAACATAGAAAGAAAAATAAACATGATATTGGTTGTTTTTAATTCTTTTTTTTAATCTTTTCAACTAAATACAGCTAGAGCTGTTAGCGTACTTCCTGCAAGATTAAATTGTGATACATAATTTTGCTGCTGTTGCTTATCATAGAGATATTGACTTATTTCAGCACACCTTTCTTCATCATCTTTTTACTTAATCTTCTAGAAATGCAATAAGAAAGTTGTTTATATATTACACCAAGACGTTATTGATATATATATAGTCTGTGATGGTATATTTGAAATCACTGTCGCGGTTAAAGGTGTGCGAGACTACAAAAAAAATAGTTGTCCAAACCGAAACTGAAGATTGTAGCTAAACATTCGATGATTTTGAACGAATTACAAGGGAGAAAAGTGGCTCCTGGCGGCGCCGGGCGGCTCCTTATGGATCCTAGAATCCATAGAAGCCGGCAGAATCTACCAGGAGCCGCCGGAATTCACCTGAATCGACCAGAATCAAGAATAAATACTATTAGAAACCCTTCGAAAGCAACATTGATTAATTGAACCAAACTTAAGATTGAATTTAAGAAATCAAGAGAGAGGGTTAATGATATAATACTTATGTACTCATATTTACAAGTAACCAGTAGACCTACGATAGTTCCAGCTCACGAACAGATTCAAATGATTTATTTAGCGATTGGAATCAATCAGCTCGTATCAAAATAACTGTTGGAACAGTTCTTTTGAGCTGAACTTAACTGTTCGAATAGTTCAGTTTCGTTCACCCCAACTATCCCAGCNTTAGCACGTCTGTATTTTCTCCTTGCAATTTAGTGATAAAAAGCACAGTGAATGTACCTTTTCACTTTTTGAAGTACACATAACACTCGGATTTAAATCCGAGGTTTTCGCATTTATTTATGATTTAATTTCATTATTATTTTAGACATCGATATTAAATCCAATTAAACCATTATCTTATTATCAAACATTTCTTTCATCATCGGAATTAAAAGATTATTTTGAATTAATTAAAAACTCCAATGGACCACAAATAAATAAAAATGGTTAGCAAAAAAAAAAAAAAACAATTTTTTTATTTATTTTATATAATATTAATAATTTATTTAGATCGTCAATTACGTTCATCAAGTAAAGCCATGATCACTCGACGTCAAACTGGTTTAATTGATTAATTATGCAATGCTCTTTTATTTTATTTATCAACATCAGATGATTCATCGAATGGAAATAAACGTCAAAAACCACAATCAGCTGATTCATCATAAAAATAAACATTTCCTAGTAAGTTAATTAAATTAGACTTAGTATAAATAGATAATCGAAAACGATTTCTCGATTAATATTCTTTTGAATGTTTAGTATCTAATACCGTTAATTTGTGATCAGTTTCATATTTATATAATAAAATTTTACAGGACAGACTCGAAAATAGATATATTCAAGAGAAAGAGAATAAAACTTAACGGGATTAGAATCGATACTATAGATTACATTGAAATGTTCTATTTGTTTTTTAGTGAATCATCTATATAAAAATAAGCTTAGAAAAGAAAACTAAAAAAAAAAAGTAATACTTTTCAATGAGAAATATTTCTTAATGATTTTAATATTTAATATAGTTCCAATTTTCCAATAGGATTTCCTAAGCATTCATTTCAATATACCAAATTCATGAGATAATCTTTATTATTGACAAACTTGAGAAAACAAAAACGACTAAATTTTAATATTTCATCCAGATTTCCTTTTCCGGAACAGTGGTGGATATAGAGCGCGGCCACTAGGGGCGATCGCTCCTTCCTTTCGAACCATTTTTTTCAACAGTGAGCCGACACAACCTCTCATTTGACTTCAAAAAATTCTTTTACTATCTTCGTCATTGTTTCAGAAGCGTGATTTAGAAGTTCGTGCGGGCAAACATTTATTTTTAGAGCCGCGAACACATAACGTGTCGTACAAAATCCAGGAGATAGAGCCAATGGGTTATTTCGAGACTTGGACTCGACAGACTCTAGTCTGAGAAATGTGTAGGATGTGTTAGTTGACGAATAAAATATCTTCTATCTTCGCAGCGGCTATACAATTCCGAAAGTTTTCGATCGAATGGGCTCTATCAGGAGAGCCTAGCAGATCTTCGAAGAGGCGTCACATCCACACTAGATAATCTATTGATAAATTTTTTTCTCTTGAAACTTATTCGTGACATGACTGATTACAAATAAATTTATTTACCATGCAAGAGAAAAAAATGTTTAACTTTTAATGGAAGGTTATAATTAATCGTCTTCGAATCGTTATTATCCTATGAAAAATATTTAATTAAAAAATTCATTTTACATATTCATTTTTCGAATATATCAGTCAACTTCTATTCAATGATTTCAAATAATTACATGGTTAACACTATTTTAGTGAGATATTCTTTCATATCCCATTGATAATTGATTCAACAAATTAATATAAATCATATTCATAATAATAATATAATTATTTCTGATAATGATACACTATTTCAAGAGAACTACCTTATTAAAAAAAAACATCGTCTTTTGAGATTTATATATTTTTTTTTTGTTTAAATAACTTAGTATCAATCAAAAATTATCTTGATTTTCTACGTCGTAGAATTCAATTGATAGTAATAGAACCACTTGATGAAAATCGTCTGAATAAATTTATTCCTATGACATTAAATTCATTTGTAATTCGATTGAAATATGTTCGTTTAGCAATAAATAATAATAAAATAAGAACTAATGATCAAATTTAACATGATATAGCACCTATATCTATTAAACTCGATGATATAATACGATATTCACCTCGATTTGAAAATTCACAAAATATTTTTCTTAATTATCATATTTTATTGGCAATTACATTAACAAAACGAATTAAAGAAATTCTTCTTCAGAATATTAATAATTATCAAAATGAAACGCAACAACAATCAAAAATCTAAGTTAATATTAAAAAAAACTTAACTTCAAAATTCTTATTTCTCTTCTATTAGATCAATAAACAATCTATTAATTCATTTTATTGCAATTCTAATCTTTTCAACTCGAGAATTAATCACTTATATATCATATTCGAATTTCAATATTGAAATAATTTATTCTCTTTATCAAATATTTTCATTTACCAATATAACAGATCTACTTCAATTATCACAACCTTATTTTTATTTACAAGAGCATCAAACATTTAAATTATTTTAAATTATTTTAAATCGTCTTATTTCATCATCATCAACATCAACAACAATATCAATAAATTTAACAAATACTTCAACAACAATAACAATTCAACAAACAAATTATCGTTCATCATTATCATAAACTAATCTTCAACGAACAATATTAAATCGTTGTTTAGAAATTGATTTATGTTTTGATGAAATTATTTATCAAGATTATCATTATTATTTATTAAATTATCTAAATAAAAATATACCAATTCTTATTAATCATCTTAGAATAACATTAAATAGAAATGATCAAATATTTAATTAAACATTGAATAACGATAGCAAGATTTATTCATAATCTTATTGAAAATTCTATATTTTAATCTACAAATGAAGATTTATTACTTGAAATAGTTCGAATTTCATTAAATCAATCATGGACATTTTAAATTTCAATAAATAATTTAAGAATTTTTCTTTAAATTATATTAAAACGAAATCAACAGATCAATTAACACTTGAATGTTTTGAAATTTTTCTTAGATTTTTTCATCAAATAACAATTCCACAAGCGTTTAAATATTCTTTTACAAATTGTTGAAATTATTCAAATAACAAAACATAATATTTATTTATTAATTCTATTTGAATATATTATGAAATTCAACAAGAAATGATTGAATATATTCAACAATTAATATCAAAACAATGATATAACACCAACAACAAATTTTAATCAAATTACTAGAAAAAATAATTCAAATTATCTTCATGGATTTACATTTAAAAATCTTTATAATAATACAATTTATAATTATCTTATTCAACAATTAAATTTTACAAAAATAAATAAAGGTTAAAACATATAATCACATCACCATACCTCCTCTTCGAATTCCTATATAAGAATATTTATTAGAGATGTGGAGGATAACCCTGGACATCTCTAACCTAATACTATTTTCCTATCTATCAATTTTAGAGTCTTCCAACTAGGGTAGGGTAAGTAGGGAGCTACGGATCCAATCTTTTATTTTTTGTCGGGTCCAGTTACACATTTTTGTGGACTCGCTGCTTCCCAGATTAGAACTACAGAAACAATATATGACTCTATGATGAACTTTGTTTCTGAGAGTAGGGAATAAATAGCTAAAACCTTGATCTTTTACTTGTTCATGTACACGAACGGGTGCGAGGTAGAACCCGTCGGGTCCGGGTCCAACATTTTTATAAAGCAGGTCCGGATTCGAGTTCGAAAAAAGTTTGGACCCGATTGGTATGAACAATGCGTAGTTTGCGCTAGTTACTGAATAGAAAAAGACGAACGAAAATATCTGATATCCTCGGAATGACTATTCAATAGTAGTTAAACCTCTTCCCTCAATAGAAAACTCACAATATCGGAAAAGTTTCATTCAAAGAAGCATGCTGTAGCCATAGTAAAAGGCGTCCTAAATTAATTGTTTTTTTAGAAAAGTTGAACACTTAATTAGTATCTCTATATGAAAAATATGCCTAGTTTTCAGGGTTTTGAGCTGAAGATCTTTGTGTTTTCTAAAAAATGTTTTTAATTAAAAATTATAAAAATAAATGAGATACAATCGAAGATTACTTTAGAAGCTTTACATGCTTGAATATAATAGAAAAACCATGGTCTTCTATGACAAGAAGGGCTATAGGAAATTTTTTTTTATAATATCAAAGTTGAGTTTCACCGAGTTCGGGTGCGAGTCGAAAATTCTTGGATCCAACTGGGTCCGAGTCAACGAAAACTTGAACCCGCAACTCCCTAAAGGCAGACGTCTTCTTGGGTTGGGTGAGGTTTAGAAAATTTTTCTCAGTTAAGATATGGAAAAAAGCTTATTCTGCAAATTTCTAATGCCGATAAATAATTGTTCTTAATTACGATTTGGTTTTTTTTTATTTTATACTAAAATTATTTGCTCATAGATTATCCTGCATTGGCGACATTAGAATTTTTCGAAAGATTTCTTTAACTATTTAATTATTGTTTTCCCTTTTATTGTATATCTGGACATTGTAACAATTGTTAAAAGCCTATCAATCTAGAACAATTTCCATGATGAAAAGAAAATAAACTAATGAGGATATGTAGTTAGATGATAAATGACTTTTGAGATAAGTCTTAGCTGATTAGATGAATTCTATTGAAATTAGAGGACGTCTAATTATAATTCATAGTTACGGATGTTTCTTCTTGAGTCATGGGTGGACATTTGAGTTAGTTTTTTTTAAATTAGTTCAATCACAATGCATAATAGATTCTAGTATCTCCTATTCTAACATATAACTATGACGAACGTAGATTACTTTGTTGCATAATAGAATATTTCAATATTTTATATACTAGAAAAATTTGATATTTTCACAATGAATAAATTCCATTGAGAATTTGATTATTTTCAAAGCCGATTGTCAAGATAATTAAAGGTGAACTATGCTATTTTATTGCAAATTTTATTAAAATACCCATAGATAACACACATCTCAAAAGCTATTTACAAACAGTTGAATAAACTAAGATCAATCGCTTTTGAATTTGGACTCTATGCATGAGGTGGTCGACTCCAGTCAGATATAACAAAAAACTCAAAAGGATAAATCCTCTGAGACCTTTTCTTAAGATTTATAGGTATTATAGCCTTGGATAAATCGAATGATAGTATTTCGACCTGAGATTTTTCCACGGACAGATCTCTTCGTCAGTAGAAACCTCTGAAAATTTCAGCTCTAAAGACAATTTCCTTTCCGAGATATAAAGGCCTAAAAATCACTTGTGTACTAGGAAACGATGCTAGAATTTTCTCTTTTTTCGAACTTTAATATCTCGGGAAGGAAACATTCTTTTCAGCTGAAATTTTCGACGCATTCTACTAACAAATAGATCTGCCTGTGAACAAAACCTCAGGTTGAAATACCGCCGTTCAATTTGCTGGTATATACCATGTCGGAGGCGAAAGTTCCATTAAAAACGCCTATAAATCTGGACCAAAAACCTAAGGGCATTTATCATTTTTTTTTCATATTTCAGAAGACTCTACCCTATGCACTGAGTCCGAATTTAAAAGCGATTGATCCGTTGAAAACGTTCTTTGATAAAAGTGAGAATAATTGTTGGCATTAAATTTTTTTATTTATAATGTTTAGAAGGATTGACTAATAGATTAATAAAACAATATAATGATCTTTTATGGCGTATACTTGGTTATTTATCACCATGAAATGAATTTATTGAAAATATGAATACATTTTATGAAACAACATATTACATTTATTTCGTCTTGAAAAAAAAAAGTTCTACATGATAAATATATAAAAGAATTTGTTTGAAAAGAAATAAGATTTATTAATATTGAATCGTTTAAAAATAAAAATAAAAAATCATATTCTCTATTTGATTTAATTGTTTATAAAATATTATTAGAAAATTTAACTTCAACATCGGAAGAAATAAATAATTTATATAAAATATTTATTCATCAATATAAATTATCATTAAATACAAATTATTATATTCATTCATTATTATTAATAGCTATAACAAAAATTTTTTAAGATAATATTAAAACAATAACAATCTCAACATTAACAAATCATTTTCAAGAATTATTTAAATATCAATTAAATTATAGATTAGAACCAAATAATTTTAAATTATATATTTATTCGACAAATTCTTCAAATTTTATTAACAATTTATCCACAAATCAATGATAAACAATTATTTATTGAAATACAAATTCATACAAATTTAAAATTTCTTAAACAACAAATTAAATAAAAAGATCTTAATAGAGAAACAATAGAAAATTATATAAATATATTTAAAATATAATTTAATAAAAATATTCCAAATAATATCATAAGATGAAGATATTTATCATGATTTATTTAAATATCTTGATCAACAATTTCAACGAAATATATTTCAAAATTGTTTGTTACCATTGAATTTATTTTATTTACTTTATTTAACATCAATACCAAATTTATCTTTATCAATATTTGCAACAATCTTAATCTTATTTAATCAAATTTTTTCATATTCAAATCAATTTCAATTATTAATAAAAGATTTTAATTATATTCATAATTTAACTAATCAACAATTATCACAATGGTTATCAAACACTTTTTTTATTACAAAATAATGAAAAAAATCAATTATATACAACTGAACAATATAAACATATATTAGAAACATTTACAATATATTTAGTTAAACAAAAATGATGATCGTACAAATATGATTGGAGAAGAAGTTTATTTATCAATATTATCTATTTTAATACAATTAAGAGATCAATTATTAAAACCAAATAAATATCCATTAGGTTTTTCACTAATTATAGAATTATTAATTATTTTAGCTGAACATCGTTCAGCTAATCGACATACATTTTTATTTCAACCTCCAGCTAGTGGCGTAACCAAGATAGGACATGAGTAGGCGCCGCCTACTCACCGATATTTATTAAAAAAGCAATTTTTTTTTAACAATATTTGAATGATTGGTCGATTGAATCAATTGTTAAACATGAATTATCGTTTGGAATAGAGAGACGTATATTCTGACAATAATCATTGACAGATTGCATTTCATCAATGATTTTTTTCCATATGATCTTACAAGCGACCTGCTCAAACAATTTCCTGATTCTAATACAAATAGATCAAATTTATGCTGAATGTCGTTAGGCAATAAAGAACCCAAACGTGGTTCGATTCAATCGTTTTTTCTTCCGTCTGTCAAAAAAAGAAAGTTGACATTTCTACTTTTCGTACTGATCAATCTGCACCAACATCTCAATCAGATGCAATAACTTGTTTGTTAGATTAAACTTCAAAATCATTGCCATCATCTTCATAGGCGCCATCCTTATCGTCACCAGTATCTTCACCATCAGCACATTTATCGATCGAAACTTTACCACCATTACCTATATCACTAATGTCTTCACCAACACAATATTCACCATCAGTATCTTCACCATCACAACGTTCATCATCAATATCTTTATCACCATTATCATTGTCGTCAGCAATGGCAGTGCCTTTCACTGAAAAAAGTCCGATTTTACCTAATTTTGTGAGATTATCATCGGATTTTTCTGCACCAAGATCCAAATTATTATCGATTGAAACTTTCCGAGTCACAAATAATCTGATTTTAAATCAAAAATAATTCATCGAAATCAGAAATAATTTGGATTTTAATCAAAATTTGAGATGATTTAGAAAGGTTTTTCTTAATCCAAAATAATCCGGGAAATAAAGTAAAACTGTGATTAAAATTCAATACAATTTGATTAAAATCTGGTTCAATCTTGATTTCGCAGAATTATTTTTTATTAACAATCAGATTATTTATGACTTGGAAAATTTCAATCGATTATAATTTGGATTTTTGTGCAGAAAAATCTGATGATAATCTCATCTAATCATATAAAATTGAACTTTTTTTTGGTGGACTTTGGAAAAATCTATTGTTACATTAGACATTAGTCATTCTTTAGCAGAACTACCAACTCAACCAAAGTTATGCAACGAACAAACATAATCGATCATTTCGTTCAATTTCGTATACAATATTTACACGGCTGGAGTATTCAATAAAACAAGATCTAGGTTTTTGCTATTACTGTCACCATTTTAGTAATGGATTTAATTTCTTGAACAGAGTACGTAAATTTTATTATTCCGTAAACAACTTTATTTACAGATGAATCTTTTTTCGTTTATTATCTCTTTCTTTATTGGTAATTTTGAAAATATAAATATTCTTTTTATCGTTAATCTTTTGAAAACTGGTAGGGCGGTGTCTACCCACCCGACGATTTCTGGTTCCGCCACTACCTCCAGCTATTTCCTTGGAACAAAGTATTTTTGATTTTTCATCACTAATATAGTCCTAATGTGTTCTCTGTGAAATGAGGGATCTTCATTGTTAGTTAGTAAGGTTTATTAATTTTCTATTCTATACAAAATTCTTCTAATGATGATTATTATTTTTCATTCTAAAGATGCTTAAAATATTGGTCATGCAATCCTAATGCCACTGAAAACGGCTAGTTTTCGATTAATTTAGAGAAAAAAGTTCGAATACATACGAAAAATTTTCTTTTTTGTTTTTCTCGAAATTGATTTTTACACAAAAGAGGTACGGCCCTCCTTTTTTTATTTTGAACAATATTGCTCTGGTGAGTTTTTCCAGCAACACTCGATATTTGAGTCTTTTTATTCGAATGAAACAAGATAAAACGGAAACCGAAAAACGTAGGTACTTCAAATAGTGTCTAGTATATGTTAGAAAATGTTTCAGTTCGATAAGACGTGTTGCGGCTAAGAAGCCGAGGTGATTAGAGGAGCGCTTTTTAGCCTCTCCGACGTGGATATCCTCTATAAGAAAGCACTTGAGAATTGTGAGTCTAACAATGGAGATATTTATATTGCAGTTAAAAAGATTAGATATATTCGAGTTAAATTAAAGTTTTCACCGAAAAACTACTAAGTTAAAAATGTCGGCTGTTGTTGAAGTGCACAAACCCACATATTCGATTTAAAGACGTTTACAGTATATGTAAGCTGCTTGCAGTTTTTTCTTCTTTTTTCGTAATGGTTGGACAGAGCTCATCAAGATACATAAGAAAACATCTATTTCAAATCAAAACAAAGAAACTTTAAGAAAGACATTCAAGATAACATCACTTTTATGTCAATACTCTCCTTGACAACTTTTTAGTTATTTCAGATCTACTATCGACCTCTTTTACGACGTAGTCCAGCCTATATAAGTCTATCGAACAACAAAAACCTGCATACTTCATTGCAATTCACTGATGCTCAAATTTTGGAGTACAACGAAGTATTTTGGCTTTGTTACCCGATAGACTTACGTAGGCTGAACTCCGGTTAATAAGCCGTAAAACAGGTCGATAGCAGATCTGAAATAACTAAAAAGTTCTCAAGAGCAGTGTTGATATAAAAGTGATGTTATCTTGAATATCTTTCTTAAAGTTTCTTTTTTTTGATTTAATCCGAAGATGTCTAGTCTTTTTTTAATTGCAAATACAAACATCTCCATTGTAAGACAAATTTTTCTGATGCGCCGTTCTCGAGAAAACTCGGAAAGGAGGAGATCCTTTTCAGAAGACTTTCTCACCTATATGGTCTGATATGAAAAACAATATTTTACATTTCTCTGATATTTAATCATTCTTCACCTAATCTTATAATAACAAAATTTCGACAAAACTTAGTGGTAATGTTAGATCAGACTTTGTCTTCGATATGTATTCTCTCTTTGTTCTTCATTCTCTCGTTTTTTTCTTGGCTTCCGTAATGCCTAGTCATCTATACATATTAGAGAGTATGCAAAATTAGTGTCGATAGTAGAACACGATCGAACCGTACTTTGATACTCTCAATGAAATCTTCCAATCGAAATTGGATAATCACCCTGAAGATATGAAATACTTTTTTCTGTTCGGTGACTTGCATATCCAGCGCATTTCTCCGACGATTAAAGCCCATCGAGTCCAACATATTTGGATCCAAACACGCGACGGGCTCTAGTCGGTAGAACAAAAAATAAATCCAGACACAAGTTCGTCAAGTCTTTCTATGATTAAGTGTTCGAAATAATCCTCCTAATTATTCATATTCAATTGCTTTCGATGAATACATTTATCGAACGTTTCTTTTTTTTAATATTCTTATTTATTTAAAGAATTGATGAACTTGTTTACAGCATAATGCAACATTTCGATCGTTTAGATTTTGTTTAATTAAGTCGAATAATTAAAAATCAGATATCTGACGAATAGCTTAAGTAAAAATTTGATGAACTTGTTTCTACTATATTTCGTTTTTGTTGGAATGTGACTCAATTCCTTTTTGTTGCATACCATCTTATATTCTATTATGTATCTTCATTATTTCGGAACATATCAAAATTTTTCATTGTTTTTCTCAATTGATAATATTTTTTTTCTCTATGTTTTAGTTCTACATCACCATCATTCTTATCATCAGTTCTATCTTCATTATCAACATCTTCATCGATTGAATCTCTTAAACTTTTTCATTATAATATTCTTGAAGCAACTGTTTATTTACTTGATTATATAAATTATATTTTAATAGCTTTAAAACATTTATCAACAATAAATGATTCAATATCTTAATTATACATTCAATTGATGTTAAAATGACATCCACAATAACAACAACAAATGGTAATAATAAATCAACTTCAACATATCATAGATTATGTTCATGATTAGAAATTGCTCATCATCCTCGTTTAATTTATAGAATGACACAAATGACAAATAATCCTGTTCTATTAATGATAACACCATAAAATGTAGGTGTAAGTGAAATAAAAATCCAAATGAAAACAACTAAAATTCAAGATATTGTTGCTAGTCGATATGAACAACGAACAACATTTATATTATTAACTGATTATGGTTGTTTAAAAATTTTATTAGCTCAATCAGATAAAACAAATAATTGGTTAAATAAATTATATCGAAAAAAGATATATTTTCCAATGATTGATTTTCATTTAAATGATCAATATTTTTATTATGATTATATTAATTATCAATATACATTATCAGATAATCAAACAGATTATCAACAACAACCAACTATAAAACGTCAAAAACAAACAATTACAACAACAACATCGACAGCAGCATCAGCATCAACAACAACTGCTCCAATAAATGAATCTATAAATGGTTTAATTAAATATCCTGTTGATTTTTTTGAATTATGTCAATTATTAACTGAATATGAATTTGGTGGACCTTATTTACTTCATGTTTATTATGTTGCACAACTTAAATAACGTTTATCAACTCCACGAATGTTTGTTGCAAATGTTCGTACAGATGGTTTTACACTTGAAGTTATTAATAAAGATCCAGATAATAAAATAATGACAGGTCTACGAATACATATTCGTTTATATTCAATGGATAAATGACCACAATATTTTGAATTATTTCGACGTAGAATACAAGTTGACAATTTACAAGGACCACCTTTCTATGATTTATGTTTAACACGTCAAGAATGAATTCAAGCTGAAACAAAAATTTAATATATTTATTCCACAATCAATTGATCCAAATTATATAACTGTTATTGATTATGTTTAAGTTTATCGTAAAACAAAAGAAGAATTTCAATGGACAGATAATATCGATCGATCATTATTAACATCAACAACTAATACAGGAATGACGACAACAACAACAACAAATGCAATTAATTAATATTTACATTGATTTAGAGAAACAAATTATGAAAAAGAATTAGCAACATTACCTTTACCTGATAGGTTCGTAATGCGTCTTAGATTAAAATGTGAATAATGTAAAATTTGAATACTTTTTTATCTTTTATTTTAACATACATATTCGGCTTCACCCTATTGACTGATTTATGAAAACCGAACAAGGCTTTTGTGTTAACACCTGTGACTCTTATTCATACGTCAAAAGAATTGTTTTCAGACGATAAAATAACATATGTATCGCTTTTTGTAAAATTTCTTTTCGTTACTGACGAGGAAATCATCCGAGATGATAACTCCCGTTTGAGATGAAAACCCAGTAAGGATCTGTAGAGACTAGAAGAAACCTAGAAGGATTCTTTCCCATATGCCGTTCTTTTAGAGTTATGCCCACTATACTAGATTTTCTATCTTTAGCACGATATTTATAAAAACATCGGACAAGTGAATTTTGGCCAAAAAGAGTCATCTCTTCTCCAATTATCAAATTCATCAACACGACGGAAAATCTAATTTACTTCTGGATTGATATCTCGAGAAGCGATCACTATTTTTTAGCTGAAACTTTTAGGACATTCTAATAACTTCAAGAGCTCTCTATAGACAAAGTTTTAGACCAGAATTCGTTTGTTCGGTTATTTTTTTTTATTAATACCGTACAAAAGGTAAAAAGTCCAGTGTAACGACCATAACTCCAAAAGGGCAGAGCATGGGAAAGAATCCATTTTACCAGTCCAATCCAGTCCATGTTTTCTGACATATAGCAGTGAGATTCCCTTCGACTGGAACCCTAGATGGACAGTAATATGTGATGTTGGATAGGTACATTACCTAAGATGCTCTAAGCGTCACATGGGATATCATCAGTATTAGCTAAGATGCTACAGGCATAATCTAGAATGCTAGACGCATTAGATACATACCTAGTATCATCCCAGATGATATCTGTACCATCCCAAGTGATGCTTGGATCATCTCAGGTAACGTACCGTATCCAAGATCGCATATAACTCTCCACCTAGGATTTCAGTCGAAGGGGTCTCACTGCTAAAAATCAGAAAAACATGGGCAGGATTTGATTGTAACAGGTAGATACGTAAGTGAGCTCCAAGTTTGGGGTTTACGTACTTGTTTTTTGACCAACGTTTTTGTGGATCTGGATCTGAACCCGAAAAATATTAAAAATTTCGATCAGGATCCGACCCAGTCGAAACTTAAGGTTTTTTTCCACCAATATCTGGCGCCCTCCGTGTACATGAGCAAATGAAGGATCAAGTTTTTATCTATTTATTTGCTACTCTCAAAAAAACAAACTCAACATTGAGTTATATCTTGTTGCTGGATTTCTCATCTAGAGAGCTGCGGACCCAATAAAAAATAAAACATTCGACCCGAACCCGCTGCTTCCTACTGGTGTTTCATCTCAGACGTGAGGCATCACCTTGGATAGTTCTCGCTTTAGTTCCTGACAGAGAATTTTGAACTAAATGTTTTCAATCGATAAAAGACATTCTTGGAATTGATTTTGAGTTTTTTTTTTTCATGAAAATCCATCCTAATCGAGTTTAAAATGTGATATTCATAATCAATTCAATAAGCTGAATCTAAATAAGTGTGTTAAAATCAAGAACTCGAGAGGTTTATTCATAGAATTTATTTTATATATATATATATATATGTTTTGTTCTTTTAGGTAACTTGTCTATAGTATGCAACTATTAACTGGTTCATTATCTTTACATAATAATCTAGATGAAGAAAATCGTTGAAAATAAAATTCTGATATTGTTCAATATAGTTCTCATGTGTTTCATATGTCATTACCACCACAAATAGAACGATATTGACGTCGTTCATTAAAAGAATTTATTTCTTCAATATCATAAACAGATTTTTATTATTATGAACATATTGATCGTTTACAATTAACATTTTTATCACAATGTTTTTCATCAATAAATTATTTCGAATTATTTAATGATATATAATCATATGAATATTTATTATTATCATTATTATCAATAAGACGTCGTCGTCCACATAATATAAATTGATATTTAAATATAATACAAAATCAATCAAAATATGTTATATAAAAATCAGCATCAATGGAAATATTTATTCCATATTTAATCAATATATTTTTTAATTTATTAAATCAACGTCCAACAAATCCATAACTTTAATCAATTTATTTGAAACAAATTGAAAAACTTCTTCATATACTTGTTTATATATATCATTCATTAGCATTAAATCAACCACAAATATCTATCTATTTAATTCTTAATTATTATATACATTTATTAATATAACATGATTATCATATTTATTTTATAATTATAAATCCATTAAATCATTGTATGCAACCAAAAATTCAACGTTTTATATCAAAATTATCAACAGCAAATGATTTAAATCAACAATATACAACTGATAAACAATTTCATTCATTAACATTATCACCACAAATTTATACAAGTGAACAACAAATTCGTCCACGTTGGACAAATACACCATCAACAGAACCAACAACAACAATAACAAATCCAATTGTTGTCGATGAAAATCCTATGTTACAATATGCACTTGCATTAACTATGTCAGAAAATCCTGATCAAATTCCACCACTACCACAACCAGTAGTACCATCATCAACAATAGATAAATGTGGAAACCTCGGATTTAAATCCGAGAGTTATGTATACTTCAAAAAGTGAATGAGACAGATGAGTTGTTCTAGAATGTGGGAATATAAAAATTGTCCTGGCAAACCTTATCTATAAACACTTGATTTCTATTGGCTACTGCTCAACCAATAGGATTTGGGGGTGAATAAAGAGAAGATTTGAACTGTTCACCTTGATTTACCCTAAGAAAGTCGTTTTTCCTATAACTTGATTTCTATTGGTCACTGCTTAACCAATAGTATTTCGATGGAAGTGGAGTACAGATTCGAGTTCTCCATCCCAGAAAACCTCGAAGCATCATCACTGTGATCGGAAGATAGAGCTCTAAACGTGGATCAATTAGATCGTGAACTAAAACATAACCTAGTTCTCTTTACTTATCTTTGTGATAGGTAAGTCAACCTTCTTGTTTCTTTATGTTTTATATACCATTTTGTAGCTCTTGAAATTCTCTATCGAA